AATATTCTCTATTAGCTCATTTAATCTCCCTAAGCTGTTCAGCCATCAACTCTTTCTGGCTTGCGGTAAAAAAAATAAACAGGTGGAATGATTTCTTACCCGTTATCAACAATTGTTGTCTTTAGGCAGAAGGATGATGGAGTCCATTGATAGCTCCATTCCTGGTAGTTCTCAGGAAGTGCTTTTATAGGAATCTTGGGCTCTTCAACAGTTTGACTTACTTTGGCAAAATCTTTTCTAAAGTCATCTATTAGCCAATTCTCTCGCCGACGTACCATCAAAAATAGTCACAGTGGATAACATATGGTTTGGATCCCTTGTTTTTCTGGATTATGTTTTATGGTATTCGAGTTTTGTTGTCTTCGCTCTCTTGTGATTCTGCCCTAGATGTCTTTCGAGATGTTTTATCCTGAAATTGATGGCCTTTTTCACTTTGTAGATTTTGTTTCCATAATATTCTGTATTTTGTCGATGTCGTTTTCTTTTTCCTTCATTCATGCTCTTTTGCACATTTCCTACGGCATCCTTAATCTTGGCCTTCATTAAGCTTTTCTTTTTGTGCTAATTCTTTTGTAAATGTTATGTCTCATTATTGCAATTTCTCTCTCTTTCTTCTAATTTCTACATCTTTCTTATTTATCTTCTTTTCACTGTCTTATAATTTCTATTAAATGTCCAATCTCGCCAGTTGTAGCTTGATTTTATATTATTTTTACCAAAATAATCCTATACCTGACACTTAATAATAGTGTTTTATTCTATGAAATTCAAGTTTTACAATGTACCTCAACTAATGTTTGCTGATAAGCTTAAGTTCAAAGCAGATGTTAATGTGCAACAATTTCACTTACTTGTTAATGTTTCTCGTTTGTACCACAATTTTTTGTCTTTATTACTTCGTCAAAACGCAAACTCAATATTTACAGCATTGAACTAACTAACTTGCTGATAATAATAATCAAACCTGCTAACTCAATTATTAATCATCTATTCCAGCGTAACTTGTGTGCGTATACTGCTCATAACATTTTCTAGCTTTAAAGAAGATTCTAGTCATATTGCTATACCCATAACATGACGACAAAACTCCCTCTTGCCATACAACAATACCACATCTTAATTAGAAAATATCGTCTATGACGATAGCCTAAATATTTTAACTAATTAAAAATAGGGATGTTGAGATATACAACTAAGCATTAATAAAACACAAGACAAACAAATAAATGCACATTTAGCAACTTATGGAACAATTTAGATTAGTTACGTCGAAATTATCTTATACAGCATATCAGTTGTTAACTTCTTGTGTTATTTTGTTTCACGATTTTTGATTGAATCTCTTAATTGTAAAACGAATAACAAATACGTCAATTAATTAATATAGTTCATTTAAAGTTTTAGCTCTGATATGAAAGTTACTGTAAAATATACTATGCCTAGTAAGTAGATATAGCAACAAGTAATCGCATTACTTAGAATAACATGAAACCTGCTTAGACATTTACAAAACTTAAAACCAAATATTTTGCTGTATAACAATGATAATTTTATACTACCCATTTTTGTTCTCATTGAAAAAGATCACAGAACAGCTTCTCTATTTTTAAACTGTATTATAATTATTCACAATTTTATTTAAAACGTAGCTACAGTATTTACTGGGGAGATAGGAGATGATGACTACATTTGAAAGCGACTATTTCACCACGTAATATATACGTTTAAGAAAATGTGTAATTTTTTTGTGTCTATATGTAACTGACTCAGTATTTGCATGCATAATGTATTTGCTTTTTATCTGTAGATTTAATACCAGAAGCACGAGAAGTGCATATTCTAATGTTTCTTTGTTTTGTTTTGAATTTCGCGCAAAGCTACACAAGGGCTATTTGCGCTAGCCGTCCCTAATTTAGCAGTGTAAGACTAGAGGGAAGGCAGCTAGTCATCACCACCCACCGCCAACTCTTGGGCTACTCTTTTACCAACGAATAGTGGGATTGACCGTCGCTTTATAACGCCCCATGGCTGAAAGGGCAAGCATGTTTGATGGGACGAACCCGCGACCCTCAGATTACGAGTCGAGCGCCTTAACCACCTGGCCATGCCGGGCCGCATATTCTAATGAAGCTACTAGTATACCTGACATTAACTCATTATCTTTCTTGTTAGTATCTTTGTATTAAGCCAATATTAACATTAAAGAAATGAAAAATGATTACAGATATTACTTACGTTTAGTACACATATTAGAATATCAGTGGCAAAGAAAAACCCCTGAGCTGGGTCCATTGTCTGTAAGCATAAGAATATGTAAAGCGATAAGTTTATGATATAATTGTAAGTTTAAATAATGCTTGAATAATTAGTTCAGTTAATATGACATTTTAAACTCGAAAATAGGTGAGAAGAAATAATGTAAAATAGGAAACTGTTCCAGAAAATGCTTGTTTTGTATATTAATGGCTAATCTTAACAACCGCATAATATCTTCTAATCAAACGTCATCTGAAAATATTAACATAGTAAAATAATTCAAAACATTAAACTTTTGGGGTCAGTGTAATTTTAATTTTTTACCAGAGAAATATTTGCATCTCTCAAATTAGCCTTGCAATATCCATGTATACATATACGTGTTTTCCTTAAAATAATGAACACGAAAAACTAGAACCTTCTAGATGTCTGTATGGTAATGGCAAAATTCACATCAGTAAAATAGATAAGATATGAGATTTATTTATAATATAGATTTACTTTTATATATACAATGCTGGATTTGAAAGAAGATACTCCTGTTGCTCTTCTTCTAATCTTCAAAATATTTATAATTCTTAATAAAAGAAGAAGAGAAAAAGACTAACGAACTTCCAAACTTTTCGCTTAGAGTAAAATTCTTTCAGGTATGGAAATAAAACTTTTTGTTAGATATAAAAATAACAATGTTCTATCTACATATTAATAAAACCAGAAAAAAATAGATAGAAATTAAAAATCCATATGGTCTCATAACAAAATTGGTACCAAAAACTCATTATAATTCTTTGAAGATTTTAGTTAAAGTTATTTTCATCTTATCCTTATCATACTTATTCAAACAAACCAATTTTAAAACAAAAGCGTGACACATTTATTTAGGTTTTTAAATAAGCTCGACTTTTATTTTAATGATCGTTTATTACCTTTATATTGTTAAGGACAACGCTAAATAAATCTTTATGGATATTAATAAAATTTGTAATAGAACAAATTTCAAGAAAATGCACCACCAGAACACATATTAAACATTTCTTCATCATTAAGAAATTAAACATGCTGAATGCCAAAATAAATTTTCCTATCATACTCAGAAAAGTGGCAATAACGAATGTGGAGTAAACAAGTGAAACATATACCAATTCTACAGGAAACTAATTGATCTAATGATATTAGCTAAATTTCAACCAAAAGAGAAAGTAAAAACATATCCTCAAATATCAATCAAGGTTTGCGGCTAATTGTACTGTCATAGTGTGGTGTTTTCTTACACCTTTTATGTTGAGAATATATAATCCTATTAGAAACTTCTGTGATACGTCATACTGTTTTTGTCTCGTAAGCAGTTAATGTAATTAAAATTTAAATTAATCCTGTGTGACAATTCTATTGGTCCATAAATTCTGAGTGAAACCTTTTAAAATATTGAGGTATTATTTTGTCGATTTGTCGAACTGGTTGCCTGCCATAAAAATAATTAGTTGTTGTTGTGTATGCTGTTTCACAGTATATCAGCTTGATCGCTGTACTTATTTGATGTTCATCCAATACTGAAACGTGATATTAAACAAACTTTATTAATAGATATAGAAAGAACGAGCAATATATATTTATATTCAATGTGCATTTTCAGCAACATAATAACAAATGAAAAACATATGTGAAAATGAGTCAATGTTGTCATGAACAATAGACATAATTATGTCAGTATTTGTTTAGAAGTGGTATAAGTTGTTTGTTTGAATTTATGCACAAAACTACACAATGGGCTATCTGTGCTCTGCCCACCACGGGTATCGAAACCGCTGTACCACTGGGGGGGGGGGCAAGGGGTATAGTAAGAAATCCGCTGAATCTTCAGGTTTCGTTTATCAGAATTATAGGCAGGACAATCTCCATTCTGCGATTTAGAAGCATCAGCTTACATGCACACATAATATTTTCATTATTTTATTGTAAGAATACAAAGTTATGTGGATGTTATTATATTATGTTATAAAAAACCTTATGGTGTGCTTTCGAAAAATAAAATTACTTTATACATCTTTTTGTTTTCAACACAAACATCACTTTCAATCTCATTTTTAATTGAATGATGTATTTGACAAATGATTTCACGATATTTTACTTTTCCAAAGTGGAAATTTAGAGTTTTTAAAGAACGTATAGATTCTTAACAAAAATCCCCTAAGCAATGATGATGCTTCATGATTTTAACTTTATTTTGTTGAGCTACATTAATTTAATTATGTTTTCCACTAAGTTTGTTTTTAAACTTATGCATCATATAATGTTAGCTTATGACTAGGAGTACAGTATAACATACTGCAAGTGATTTCATATGTATATCTACCAGTTACTATCAGATGTTTTTAATTTAGCAAGGCCTCAAGATTTCTTTAAGTTCCCTTATATTAGTTTGAAAATGTTTTTTGTTCACAGCGCTTCATAAGTTCACATTATATTTACTATCTATTTCGAAAAAGGTCTTGTGTAACTTGTTATGTTAATGAGTAAGATAATGAATTTGAAATTTAATTAAAAAACAACATTAAAATTCCTAACGTATCCTTCAAGAAAACTAACAAATAAAATACGTATTTTCTTCTGAAGGTTAATTACTGTTCTTTTAGTTTTTAAATTTTTACTTTCTCACCTAAACTCCAAAAAGTAGAGTTATTTTTGTGTCAGTGAACACTGATAAAAATAATTTCCTAACATTTTGTTTTTTAAAATTTGTCTTTTTGTAGCAGTATAATGTCACCAATAACTGATCGGTTTTTGAGAGGGTATGTAACAGCCCCTTCTGATGTAAAATATTCATGCACTAATATCAGAAGGATATATTCAGATCGGAGATTTAAAACTTCCAAGACGGGCATATCCCTTGTATTTAATGGTATTGGAAAACAAAGGAATATAGGTCAATTTGAGGTACCAGGACCATCTAGGAAAAGACAAGCCGTACCCGTAGCAGTGTTCTGTAACAAATCAGAGGCCATTAACACAAAGGTCAGTGGCACAAGCCGTCCACGCACCTCACGAAACGAAGAACAAATAATTATGATATCACAACCAACTAAATTAAAAAACAGCTTAATATAGGAAGTCCTTAATGCAGTTTGAGTAGACCAAACAATTTATTCAGTAGCACAATGTCAAAATTTAGTTCTGATACATTCCGTTCCACCACAACTTTAGATCAGTTGTGATATCAAACATCACACTCCTATTATGAATGCAAAAATCTCATTGTGTAAGACTAAACGCACAAACTGAGTGAATTTTGAGAAGTTATTATTCACAATGTTACAGTTAACAACTTCTTTGTTCCACAATATACAGTTTTACCTTTGTGACAACATTCATAAGCTTTTTACATTTATTCACTACATCTATTTTTCTTCTTATGTTTGGATCTTTAAATGTGTAGAAATTCACGTCACATCTTTAGGAAAATAAAGTTATGTACATTTTTTATATAGCATTCTAGATTGTACCTTTATGCTTCACAAGGTACTCATTTCATTCTATATGTGATTAACTTGTTACTAAAAGATGTCAAATATTTTTTGTTAACTGCCTGACATAAGTATTGATAATATACATAATACTTCCAAAAAAAGCTATTAATGGAATGTTCAATAGTGCTGTTGTAAAATTTATACAATCGATCAAACAAATCAGTAGCATTATAAATATAACTATTAATTACAAAAAATAGTTCATAACATCTATGAAAATATACATTAGTGCTTATCAAATGAAAATAACATTATTTCTTTCAATAGCGAGAAAATTAATTATATTGCAAAATTGAATGATATGGGAGTTGTTTGAACCTTTTTCGTCATAAAATTTAACTGTTTCTTGCTT